AAAAGTCAGAGGTTTGTTGTATGTGTGTGTGCGTGTGTGTGTGTGTGTGTGTGTGTGTGTGTGTGTGTGGTGTGTGTGTGTGTGTGTGGGTGTGTGTGTGTGTGTGTGTGTGTGTGTGTGTGTGTGTGTGGGAATGAGGGCAGTGTATTTACAGTCACTCGGTGAGTTATGTGTGTCACCACGTCTGTACACTTTAGAGGACCCTCCAGCTGTGGTGGTTTATGTACATACAGCCAGAACTGCCTTGCTCTCAATCTCTGCTTGGCCTTTCTGACCGCCGGGCTGCAAACGGTCCTCTTGTGGAGCAACGGCGCTGCGGTGGAAAATGGAGCCTCTAACTCACAGAGTCATTTGCCGACGCCACTCTTGGGATTCGAAGCGAGTTGCGGCAGCGCAAAGATAGAAATTGGAACTGGCAGCAAACATGAAATGGGGTCATGGGATTTGCCCCCCGACACACACACACACACTCCGCCGGCACGTACAGGGAGCATGTGAATTTGAAGGTCTCCTGATTATCAAGGGTGGTCTATTCAGACAAAGAGATAAACTGTCTTTTGCAGAGCGTCCTAAAGAGACTTGGTCCTTTGCTGCTGTCATTCAGTATCTTTTGAAAAGTCTTCACACGAGACATTAAGTGGAGTCTAATTGATTTGAGGTTTATTAAAAGTAAAGGCTTTTTAGATACAAGTTGTGAAATTCCAACACTTTTTTTGTTTTGGAGAAAGTGCCAAATGATAAGTTTGCCTGTTGTTGTTATTGCCTCTTTAGATCAACCATGTAAACCCAGAACAATTTATTTTGAGTGTCTTAACTGACAGGTGACCCCTACAAAAATTTCTTGACAGCATGTTTTTGAATTTAATCTCACTAATTTCAACATATCCCTTGAGGATCTTAAAGCTTAACTTTCAAAAAGGGGAAGAGAAAATCTCTAAACACCATTTTCTGGAATCCTAGTGTTCATTTCTTTTTTTCTTTTTTTTTTTTGTCAACCATTTAGTGAAAGCCTGTCAAAAATGGTTAGCTTCTCCAGTGAAACTACTTCTTTGGATCGTAGCTCCCAGTCCTGCCCCATGTCTGCACAGTTTGTTTCTATCCCCTTGTTTCTCCCCTTTTGTTTAGATAAAGCAAGGGATTAGGATAGATTTGCCCCCATAAAGCAGTGGTTTGATGGGCTTTTATCCCACCATGTTGCTAAAGCTGTGTAGCCCCTGGATTAGGCCCTGACAATAGAAACCCTTGTGCTGGGCCGCAGCCTGAGGGGCACAACCGAAGATCTGCTCTGAGAAAGAGGGAGGAAGCAAACCTGCCAACTCCGATACATCAAGTCTGCTGGAGAAAGCGTTCAGAGGAGTCGCGGCAGGGACTGCTCAATCACACAAGGGAAGAGAGCACGACTCATGGCTTACATCACATCTGGACTGTAACTCAACTCATTGCTCCAGGTTGCTGACTTTAAGGGAAATGCATTCGTGAAGCGTCTTCCACAGATAAAATGCACAAATGCTCGTGAAGTCAGAACTTGAAATGAAAACTGATAAAGTCAAAGACATTATTAAAAACAAAAACACAATTATACTTAAAAAAAATACCTCAAGGAGAAGGAAGTTTGAATGTTTTCAAGAACTTCTTTGAAGACTTCAAGATTCTCAAGACAATGCCAAAGAAAGTTGTTTCAAAGTCAAGGTACATCATGCTGGAGAGAGCGACCCTCCAGAAGACGGAAATATCACGATGTATAACTGGCTCTTTACAGCAAAGTTGCTGCATGGTGTAACAACTGTAGCTGTCTGCTGTCTGAATGCGCTGTTTTTTTTTTTTTTTTCCTGCTTTCATAGTTCACTGCGCAGAAACAAAATAAATACAATTGAAACATCACAATGTTCTCGCTGAGTGCTGCCACGGTTGTTCAACAACATATTCGTGTTCATGGAGAGACTCACCATCACGGCAGATAGAATTTGATCTTATGTAACACAGTTTTCAGTTCATGTCCACACGATGCAATGCATATAAACCATGTCATCTATGTCAGGAGCAGCTGGACGGGAACTGGAGAGAATACCCTTTTAAGTGTTTACGAATAAACAAAAAGGCTTGTTCATTTAAAAGCAGGCGTCCAGCACGTGTGAGGACAGACTTAAAGGTGAACGGCCCACTAATACACAGCCAGAGGCCTGCTGGTGGCAAGCTGCTTTGTTACTCCAGTCACACAAGTCCCACTGAAGCAGTCAATTCTGAACCATGCATCAAAATGATTAATTTCACCCAAATGAGCACAAGCTAACCTTGGCTGAGAGCATGAGCTGGCCACAGCTGCTGGAATAAAACCTAATATATGCGGGAAACGAAAGAAAAAGTTAATGATAAAAGTTAATGAGCTCAGAAGGCAGAATGCATCAACTTTCTTCTGAAGTTGGAGAGTTTCGCTCTGAGCCTTTTGAGGGGTAAAATTACAAACTAGCACGCATTATAAACCTGATTAGAACTGCAGATGATTTATAAATCCCAGCAGCTTCCTCGTCTGAGCGTTGATTTATGCTGCCAAAGTCCTGATGCAGGGATAGAAGTTTGGAGGCAGTGGGATGATGGAAGACGTTAACTCAGATCTAAGCAGAGGCTTCAACAAGACAAAGCTTTCAATGGAGCCAGAGCGAGGAAAACAATGAGCATCCCATTGAAATCCGCCAAAATCCGAGAGTTATGAGCAGCACCGAGGATCGGAGGCATCGAAAATATCAAACAAAAAAAGGGCAGAATTTTTTTTTTAAATAAAAACACTGCCAGAGTAGCTTGCATAATTAACAACAAAACTACCAAGTTACGTCTAGAACGTCAAATTGTATTATTTGTTTTTGAGTTGGATGAAAAAAGTAAGAATTGGAGATAAAAATGCTGGTACTTAATAAACAGTTTTTATTTATGTAATTGTGAGATTTTGATGGCATCAATAGGAAGATTGACAACAATTTAATTTTCCTTTGCAATAAAAACAAATTAATTGAACTGAATAGAGGTTCAGAAAACAGGATCAGATGTTTTAGCGGTATAGAGATAATGGTCACACTGGAAACTTAAAGATACGTAAGTAATACTTAGGTAAACATCTTACTCTACTGAGATTAAATGTAAAATATCACACTGCACCATTATTTTAATGAAAAGTATTTACAGTTTGTTCATTTTAAATTATAATCCAACTTTTAATCACCCACAGATTCAATCCAGGTGTGGAAGAAGGGAAATGCCTAAAACATGCAGGGCAGGAGTCCCCCAGGACTGGAACTGAGAAACACTGGCCTCCACACAGAGGAATTTGATATGTGTTTGTAGAAAACACTTGCTGAAATTGCACCAGGTAGAAGCTTAAGGTTGTGTCCAAAGTCAAGTCCCCACAGACCCGTTTCATGCATGCTCTTCTCAACACAGCTGATGTTTCCTGCATAAGTTTCACAATCTGAAGAGATAATTAGAGCAGCTGTCCATCTCAACAGCCATGACTGCAGAAAAAGTTTCCCTGACCGGGGATCGAACCCGGGCCGCGGCGGTGAAAGCGCCGAATCCTTGCCATTAGACCACCAGGGAGCACGCAGGAAAACATCCTCAGGCGTCATCGGAGGCCCTCCATCCCGATGCGTGGTGATAAGCGTGTTCTGAATGTATTATTCTTAATTATTTACGATTTCTGTACTTTTTTTTTAACGATATTAACAATAAGGTTGTTCCTTATTTCTTGGTCTGCTGCTGCTGGCCTATAAAATCCTTCTCACCCGGGCCTCTTGACTCCTTCATTGAAAGCCTTGAGCCACGCTGGACATTAGGCCGCATTAGGTCGCTTAGGAAAGCTGATTTAAGGAAGAGCAGCTGAGAGAAATTCCTTCCCGCTTTATTTTGCTTTAGAGACGGTTCCCACAAAGAGACCCTGCTCAGATTTACCTCCAGTTTAAGTTCTTACGTCCATCGGTTCACAAGTTAATCCAATTTCTCCCTCTTTAGGCCCAACATGCGAAGCGGCTGCAGACAACAAAAAGGGAGAAGAAAACACGGAATAGAGAGAAAAGAAGTGGAAATGAATACTTTGATTTATTTATTTATTTTTATTTATTTATTTATTTTGGTGATGACGTTAAAAATTAAACTAAATGTTGGGATTGCTAACCACTTGTTGCAGCAGCCATCTATAGGCTGTATGTTTCTTCCATTGGGCTGATGAAACAAACAACAAAAACAGAAGAAAATACCACAAAACTTCAACCGAGCTGAGTAGCAGCTCAATAAATTATGTTCACACACACATCACTTTCAGGAGACCGAGATATCGGGATATAACCTCAGCCTCCCTTCTCTTCTCTTCTCTCTCCACCTGCTTCCCTCTCTCTAAATTCAGAAAAAAATATATGCAGGCTTTACATTAAAAGGCTACTTTCGCTGCCCTTAATTCCAGCCTAAACGGTTTTTCCTCGCAAGAAGGAATCTTTTCTAAAAAAAAAAAAAAAAAAAAAAAAACGAAGAAGGGAGGGTGGAGGGGTGTATTATTGTTTTAATCCTCTTACCAGCAGTCATTTTAAGACATTTTTAGAGGGGTGAAATGGCGTCTTGTCTACCCAATCCTAACCCAAAATCCCCGCGGGGCCCCGGGGGAGCTGCTGGAGGCGCAGCGGCTCCCCGGGCTGCGTCTCTCCATCTCTGCCGCTTTCCCACAAAACCGCGCGGAAGCCGCGAGGGGGGGGAATGAAAAGCACGGCATTAACCCCACAGTGGCCGATCCGTGCGCGACGCCCGAGCGCGTAAAGGCCGAACCTGAAGCCTAATATTTGCATATCATTTAATTACCACCGCGCGTGACGGATCTTTTCCACTGAACGCAAACGAGTCCCCACAGACCCGTTTCATGCATGCTCTTCTCAACACAGCTGATGTTTCCTGCATAAGTTTCACAATCTGAAGAGATAATTAGAGCAGCTGTCCATCTCAACAGCCATGACTGCAGAAAAAGTTTCCCTGACCGGGGATCGAACCCGGGCCGCGGCGGTGAAAGCGCCGAATCCTTGCCATTAGACCACCAGGGAGCACGCAGGAAAACATCCTCAGGCGTCATCGGAGGCCCTCCATCCCGATGCGTGGTGATAAGCGTGTTCTGAATGTATTATTCTTAATTATTTACGATTTCTGTACTTTTTTTTTAACGATATTAACAATAAGGTTGTTCCTTATTTCTTGGTCTGCTGCTGCTGGCCTATAAAATCCTTCTCACCCGGGCCTCTTGGATTTGAGACATAAATATCAATATCAATATCAATATCGTTGGATTTGAGACCAACTCAAAATTAGGTGGAACTGCTTGGATGTCGGAATTTAAGATTTATTTAAACGTATGACCACAAAACGAATCTAATATTTCATATATAATTTGTGTTGATTGGCAGTTATTATATATATATATATATATATATATATATATATATATATATATATATATATATATATATATATATATATATATATATATATATATATATATATATATATATATATATATATATATATATATATATATATTATATATATATATGCTATTATATAGTCTAATAAGACTAAGAAAGAAAGTTGGACCTGTGCAAGCTGATTAAAGACTGTAACAAATGAAAGCGAGCATCTAGTTTCATATTGGATTGCTTTGTTTTACATTATAACTTGTTATTGTTGTCAGATGTCCAACAGGTGCTCCACTGTAGTTCAATGTAACATTTTTACTGTTAATTCAAATGCGGGAGCTCCTGTTTAATGGTGAGGGATAACATTTTGATAAAAAAAAGATGAAACGTGACGAGTTGGAAAACATCAGTTCGACACTTGCTTGAAAGAAGGAGAAAAAAAGCTATCATAAAGACAGACAAGTCAGTAATTTATTTAGAACTGCGCATCTATTGATTGATTTGTGAATTCTCGATAAAAAGTTGTTTACATCTCCAAAATAGTTGCATTTATCAATCAGCAGGATAATAAAAAAACAACAACAACAATAAAAACATTGATATTTATGTTTTTCTATCTATTTATCTGTCTTGTACAATCATCTCAGATGATGTTAAACTGCGGGTCCGCAGACAGGGAGGCGCACGCCTCGCCAGGAGAAAGAGGAGGAAAGCGACGTGATTGGCGCACCAGTCGGAGCTTCCGTGCGTCCCCGGCGACCCCACCCATAGTGCTTTAAAAGCCCGCAGATGGCAGCTCCGCATCCTCCCCCGCAGCCACGGCGAAGAGACGAGCGGACGGCGGAGCGACACGCACGCAGCGGACTATCCTCAAGGCGTCAAAACCCCGCAGGAAAACCCGGGAGCGAAGAAGATGAGAGCGCGGCTGACGAACTTTGGGAAGAAGTAGTTTGATACGCGAGTATTTATTCCGACCGGAGAAGCCTATCCAAAGTTGCGCGGACATAAAAAGGAGGTAAGGTGTTTGCTGAATCAGAGTTGATGCTGCTCTTTTTTTTTTTCTTCGCGGAATTTGTTCAAACAAAGTGGATTGTTTTACGCCTTTAAAATGTCGCTCTTGTCGAGCAGTTTTATTTCACGGAGATGATAAATTTCTTCTCCGTGACGTCAGTTTACAGACGTTAATAAAACTTTTAACACCCAACTCTAAAATGGTTTTAGGTTGATTTATTGCCTTGTTTTTGTTAATGCCCCCTCCGTCCCTATAATTTCAGCCTTTACATCCCTTTTGAAATAAATAATGACGCTCAACAGACGACCGCACGCTGAGCTCCGGCCCCGCGGCGCTTCTTTACCAAACGCAGCATAACTCATAAATCCACGGCAATAAGCATAATTAGGCCGTTATCAGAGCCCGGGGCTTCGTGACATTGTCCTGAAAGAAGAGCATTGTGTTACATTTTACACGCAGATTGGAAGAAAATTGAACAGATTAAATAATTCAAGGTAGGTGTGTTTTTAAATGTCCCTCGGGGGCAAAGGCATAAAATAGAACAGAATAGAATAGAATAAAAAAAAGTAAATAAATACAAGAAGTTGTATTGCATTGGTCCAACATTTCGTTTAAATCACACCGTCCCACGAAGCGCACGCATGTGGAACACCTTTCACGCGTCAGGGCTGATGATAAATTAATAGCCTTGTATAGTTGAAACCTATCTGCAAACGCATTTAAAAAAAGAAAGAAAAAGAAAAAGAAGGGGAGCCCGATAGGAAATCCTGTGCATGATTCTCTGACGACCCGTCACGGTTTGTCCCGTCAGCCTGCAGGCGTCTGAAACTGACCCGGGACCCGTTTCCCAAACTGGCAGGAGCGAAGAGCGAAGATGGAAAATAATCTACTATATATATATATATATATATATATATATATATATATATATATATATATATATATATATATATATATATATATATATATATATATATATATATATATATATATATATATATATATATATATATATATATATATATATATATATATATTTATATATATATATATATATATATATATATATATATATATATATATGCACTTTATATCAATCGCAAACTGCAGATCTGATCATCAGGGAGTTCACAAGCAACATTATATATTTTTTTTATTAAACCTTTCCACTTTGAAAAAACTCCCCGCGTCACCTGAACTTGTTTAAATGTCGGTCTTTTAAACAATAATATGTTATCATTTTTAAAATTAAAATTAAAATTTAAATGTACCAGTCATCTATTTTAGAACATTGAAAGTATAATAATAATAATAATAATAATAATAATAATAATAATAATAATAATAATAATAATAATAATAATAATAATAATAATAATTCTTATTTTTAAACTAAGGCGCAAATAAGCAATTTAATTAAGGACAAATTTTACTCAATTAATTTTATATTTGATCTAAAGTCACATCTTTTTTTTTTTTTTAAAGAAACATGCCGTCTTAAACCACACTGATCTGTGGTTTAAGATCAGTTTGTTTTTCTTGTCGATGTTTCGTACCCTGAAAACTTTCCTTATTAAGAATATGCTTCTTCTTAACCTAAATCTATTTAAACTTATCAGGGATCATCCTTATTTTCTGTCTGACCAGGCATGAACTAAAAAGCGCCTCTATTTAACTTGTTGACAGTTGAATTTTTTCGCTTCCACGCGTTTTACAAGATTCTCAAAGAAAAAAATAAAATCCTGTTTGTGTATTTTAATAGTAAAATGTTTTAATTGAATATCGGTTGAGTAAAAAGGACCAACAGCAGCTTGTCCTCTCTGCAGAAGTGTCGTCAGCCATGCAGCACTACGGGGTGAACGGCTACTCTCTGCACGCCATGAATTCCTTGAGTGCCATGTACAACCTTCACCAACAGGCGGCGCAGCAAGCGCAGCATGCACCTGACTACAGGCCCTCAGTGCATGCGTTAACCCTTGCAGAGAGACTGGCAGGTAAGAATCAGTTGCACATTTTCTCCTTTTATATTTCTCACTTTATAGCCTTCGCTTGTGCAAGCAACATATTTACCTACATCAGGAGCTCACCTTCCTCCTTGACTTATCAGTCCCTTGAATTAAACTGGTCATGTTTCTTCTTTCTCAACGGTTGTACATTTCAAGACATTATCCTTGAGGCCCGCTATGGCTCCCAGCACAGAAAGCAGAGGCGCAGCCGCACAGCCTTTACCGCGCAACAGCTGGAGGCTCTGGAAAAAACCTTCCAGAAGACCCACTACCCTGATGTGGTGATGCGGGAGCGCCTGGCCATGTGCACCAACCTGCCTGAGGCCCGTGTGCAGGTAAAATAGAGGACGTCCACGTAAAGGCATAAAAATAGGATTTAGTTTTGGTGGTCTAATTTATTCATCCACCTGCCAGGTCTGGTTCAAGAACCGCAGAGCCAAATTTCGCAAGAAGCAACGCAGTCTCCAAAAGGAGCAGCTGCAGAAGCAGAAGGAAGCATCAGGAGCTGCTGAAGACTCACCAGAAGACTCTAAAACAGACCTCACAAATACTCCTAACACCACCACCACCACCACCATTGCTCCTGAGGTCCGCAGTCCTCCTCCTCCTCCTTCGTCCTCTTCATCCTGTCACTCAGAGTCAGAGCGGCTGGCCGCAGCACGGCCTCAGCCGGGAGAGATGAGTGTGGAAGTCAACGTCACATCCCCAGAGCCATCAGACAGCGAGTCAGCAACTGAAGATAATGCTGAGCGGGAGGAGGAGGAAATTAGTGGGGAGTCTCGGGTGAAACTCAGGGAGGAGGTGCAAGGAGACGGGTCTGTCCAGGCAGGAAGGAGCTCTCCGTTCTGCAAGAGACTCAGTCCCACATCAGGTACAAACATCAATTAAACTAATGCAATTACTTTTGAGATTGATTTAAACAACAAACTACAAGTTCCTGTTCCCTTTCTATCTTCCAGACTCTCCATTGAGCTCCCCGGCCCTGCCAACCTCCAACAGTGTAACCAGCGGGCTGGTTCAGAGTAACTCCTACGCCTCGTCTCCCCTCAGCCTCTTTCGACTGCAGGAGCAGTTTCGGCAGCACATGGCAGCCACAAACAATCTGGTGCACTACCCATCCTTTGACATGAGCGCACCGTCCTCTCTGCCCTATCTGGGCATGAATGTCAACATGCCTTCCCCACTGGGCTCACTGCCCTGCCAGTCCTACTACCAGACCCTATCACAAGCCCAACAGGTGTGGAACAGTCCGTTGCTGCAGGCGGCTCCAGGCAACCTCCCGGGAAGTCTCAACAGCAAGACTACAAGCATCGAGAACCTCCGGCTAAGGGCCAAGCAGCATGCAGCGTCGCTGGGATTGGACACGCTTCCCAACTGAAGAACCTGGCTGCATTTCAGGTCAACAATCCAACTTTCTTTTGACCTCTCAAAGTAATTTCGTACATCCAAGAAGATTTTCTGCAGAAGCCCAAGAACGCATCAGTGTTACCTCCAATATGATCACAAGATGTTTTGCTGATCAAATGTCTAATGTCCAGACTAATTTTCAAGTAAAAGTCACATGAACTGCTGATGTTTAATTTACATTGTGAAAACCAGAGTTCAGTGGTTAACAGGAGAAAAGAAAGCGTTCACAAAATAAACAAGCTGAGCTAAAGTAAACACTTTGGAGGACCTACCTCAATATGGATTGTCAACACACAATTTCCTATTGCCTCATTATCAACTTCATAGTCATTCACCGTACAGACAAGAGGAGTACATCGTCGGATGGAGTTAAGAGATAGCAACCATAACCATCCTGTCTTGACGGTAGATGAGACTGAAGAGGACAAATAATCCTCCCAGTGTTAATCTGAGATTCTAAAATATCTTGCAACTCTACAAGATCCCTTAAACGCAACATGTGCATGCATGAGATCCTCTACATAGCTTGGCTTGTATAGCCATCCAACACAGCTATTATGGGAACAGCAAAAGACCTGACACCACAAAATAAAGGTTGAGCCATTTTCTGAGACCTTCTTGTGTGAAGGCGTTCTTCTCAACTTGGACTAAATGGAGTGTTGTAAATAACCCCCAAAGTTTGCCTCCATCTGACTGGTTTCAAAGCAACCCCAAATCAACTTTTGCGCAAAGGGTTTTGGAGAAAAATAATAATAATTTCTTTCCAAATAATAACCTCAAGCAACCGCATAAATAAAATACAGGGGAAAAGTTGCCAACCTTTTTGTGCTTGCTTGCTGGTGGCTTCAGCAGAAAGAAGCAAATGGTACATCTCTGTATTATATATCACTGTAGATGAAAGACATGTACTTGTCAGTTGGTTAAAATATGAGTAATTTATCTGTTCAATACAAGAGAATAAATTGTAAATGAAGTGTTCTCTGTGTCGCTGCTTGGAACTTTGTGTTTGGATGCATTTTAGTTTTCTAACTCAGACAGATTTTTTTTAAAAATATTTGAGGCAACATTAGAAAGAGAAAAAGGTAACAACACAAGCATTTTCTTTGAAGACGAAAATAGTCTTAAATTACCTCTGACTCTTTTTACCCTGTTTGTTGAAAAAGAAGAAGTTATCATAGGGAAGTACCAACGGTGAGACGATTCTACTATTCTCTTGCAGCAAGAAGTTTCTGATTTGAATCTCAGCCAGCATGTTTCTGGACACTTTTTCCCCAGAGTCCAAAACAGGAACATTAGTTCAATTGACTTCTCGTAATATTAGTAAGTGCTTGACGATTTGTCCTGTTGATCTGTGATGGACTAACCTGACCTCTGGAATTAGGCACCAGCCCCCTGCGGTGCTTATCAGGAACGAGTAGGTACAGAAGATGGATGGATGGATGGATGGATGGATGGATGGATGGATGGATGGATGGATGGATGGGATGGATGGATGGATGGATGGATGGATGGAATGGATGGATGGATGGATGGATGGATGGATGGATGGATGGATGGAAACTCAAAAATCCAGTCTTTTTCTGATAAGTTTGCCCTATTATACCTAAGCGTCGCTGAGTTGTGCTGACAACACTATTTAGGATGGATGTTTTTACAAGGTAAAGACGTTAACAATTTTCTGTATCATTGGCTCAAAAGGATAAAAGACCAAACAGAGATGCAAAAAGCATATTGTGTTTTCCACAATATTTTGAGGCATGTTTCTAATAAATTAAGGCTAGAAGTAAGCAAGAGAGAGCAAGACTTTTGGCATATCGAAGAAAGGACTTGGAAAAGCTTGCAGACTGTTGCATCTCTTACTGTTACGGTAAGGCCTTACGTTCTCTATTGGTAAAAATCTGTAGACGACTTCACATGACCTCGTTTAAAAAATATCTTACCACCGCTTTAAGCTAATCATGCTAATTGTCAATGCAACATGCTAAGGCCAATTTTCAAATGTCAATTGCATAATGAACTTTGTTTTAAAATGGCATAACTTTAGTTGGCAGACAAACTGTGATATTGCTCTGTTCAGAGCAAAAATACTCCATCACCATTCATAGCAGGAAGGGTACAAATAAATAATTAAAATGTTTTTCTTGAAAAAAAAAAAAACTTTTACAGAAAAAGAAAGTAAAATTAGCTTAAATCTGTATCGACTTTAAATTAGATTGAAAATTCCTCACAAAATTCAAATAATTTTTTTCAAAGCTCTAGAACTTTAGGTGTTTTAAATTACCCTCAAAATGAGACCAAAATTATTAAAATATTTTATGAGATTCAACAGAATCAACTTGTACTTCGCAAGTCTTCCAAAATGACACTAAACAGTTTTGATTCCAGACCTTTTGTGGTGCAAATCTAATTCAGGTACAGACGTTCCACTGAAGACACCTTGATGATCCATAAATAATTTGGACACAGGGGGTCTACCATCCTCAGCACTACGGTTTACACACCACATAGGGGAGAAGCTGCCACTTGTTCACCCAGAGCAGAAGAACTAATCCTACATGAAATGACTGAAGCAAAGTGTCAGGCTCTAAAGAGTCTCCAATCCACCCGCCCACTCCTCACACGCCGCCCTGCCGTCCTCCCCCACCCTGTCAGCCGAGGTTTTGGCTGCACCGAAACAGAATGCCTTGCCATAAGAAGATTACCTTTGGTTGGGATATCGATGGATTAAGTAAGAATAGAATGAGATAAAATAGGACTGAAAGGGTTTCTGGAGTCAGCAAAGTTCAGACACCTGTTTTCGTTTCCTCTCCATCTCGCTTCGTGCCCGTAAAAAAAACGCTTGTCGAATAGCGAAGATGATATAAGTTTAAAAGTGGAGCACAAAACTTTTCTTAAAGTGCATTGACAATGCTCATCTGAAACATGCTGCTTAAATGTGTGGTCAGTTTGTCGCGGTTATGTGGGTTATCTGCATGCCTTTGAGACTCATGTGGCTGTGAGGTAACGGGAATGGTGTGTGAGTGTGTCTATGGCAGCTAAGCTGCTGAAGGTTTCCAGGAGCTCTTTGATGTGTATCTGGGCAATGCACTATTAGAGGGATTTTCCTAGTTGACAGCTCAGAGAATGTGTGGAGGAATTGCGATGCCAGCAGGCTAAAAGAATGCTGGAAACAGGATTAGGATCATATTCTGGCAGCTCCTGTCACTTCATCAATGGGCTAAGGTTTCCTCAGTGACAGCCCTCCTTCTCTGCCCGGTTAAAACCTTTAGTGGGACCATAAAAAAGGGGTGAGAGAGGGGAAAAAACAATGATTGAATGGTGTGCTATGATTTCTGTGCAGCTTTGTGTGGGGAGGTCTAAGAGGGGACTGTGCCGATCCGCAGAGAGGGGTTGGTCGAAGGGAACAAGAAGAAAAAGACGGGGGGCCTTCTGGAGGTGGGGTATGGGGGGTGACTAGTCTTTTTTTTTTTTTTTTGGAAGTTAAACATCCAAATCTAAAAAGAGGAGCATGTGGAGTTTTTTTTATTATTATTATTATTATTTTTACACTAAAGCCGGCGGACAGAGACAGCCAAACGAGGACGACAGCAGCAGCAGGTGGGAAGGAAGAAAGCTGTTTCTTCTGAATCCACTCCAAATAAGCTCTGGCTGTCTGCACAGATTTGTGGGAAGGTTTCGTACACTAACTCCTTTATTTTCACTGATAGTTATAGGTTGGATTTTTGAGGTCTACATTTTCTAAATATTAATGATCCAGTCAAAAAAGTCAATGACTTTATTCTTTTGTTTGAAGGGAAGGGGGAGCTAAAATACTACTGAAAGTTCATTTTCAACTGCATGTTTCCTGTTATGTCATAGTTTATCATCAGTTCATGCCTCAAAACACGTCCTTCTACAACAAAGGCATTCTTTTCTGGTGCTTATTTTGCGTTTGATTTTTAACTGAGGTTTGAGTGAGAGGCCCATGTTAAAAACATTAGTTTTGATGTTCAGAATACCAGCTTTGCACGTTGAGATTGAATTAGTTTTGCACATTATTTGTAGTAAAGTTGCCCAGGTTCTGTCAGCTTCAGTGGAAAGTCTGAACATCAGTTCTTAAGTCCTGCCTCAGATTCTCAACTGAATTCACCCTGATCTGAATACTGCAAATTTAAGGAATACAGGCAAAAAGAAAGCCCTTCCTCACTATCCCTACCATTAAACATGGCGACGCCATAATCATGCCATGGGGATACGCTTTGGGTCAGACTTGGAAGATAAGTGTTTAAGCTGGAGCGTTGTTCATTGTTGTTGGGCGATGAACCTAAACATTCAGGCAGAGGTAGTGGAATGGTTTTAGCATGGCCTAGTAAAAGTACAGTCTTAATCCGACTGATAAAATTTGGCAAGACTTTAAAACAAAGACTAACCATGCAGTCTAATTTTATTTTGAACTAGTTTGCAAAGAATAAAGGAGAAGTAGTTGTTGAATGAATGACTAGAAAAGCATGTCAAATTTAGAAGTATTAAAGTTTTATGAAAACCATTTTTCAATCTCTTTACACATTTTGCATTACTTTGTGTTGGCCTTTCACATCGTAGCTCAGTAAAATGCACAGTTTATCATATCTCACCTAAATCTTAGTTTATAGTTTGAAATTTTATGCAATCCTGCCATTTTTTAATGTGCTTCATACCAAACAATATACTTTATATTATTCATTCTGATTTATTTATTTTTTATTTTTTGCAACAATCCTGTTTGTTGATAATTTTTGGTGCATGCTTCAACTGCGTGATGCATGTTATCAGACGCGGTTTGCATTTTTAAATTCCAGAAATATACTCCGAAAGGGTCAGAATGAAGACTCTGAAAAATGGGAAAGCACCACAGCACAAAGTTTGGAAGCAATGCCTCCTCCTGCACACTTTAACTACTGTTGACAGTACACACACATCTCAACAAAGGGATTGTCTGTGTGTCATCGCACGTTGCATGGTGCATCAACAAAACCTGATCTGTGCAAAGGTTTTAACCACCCCTTCTCGAGGCAGCAACGTTTTACTTTATAGCAACTAATGGTAAAAATCAAAATCTGATGCAGTTTTGGTTAGGAGCTGCTATTGGCAGACCTGGTGGTCTCTGCCACGCATCTTGGCCAGAGCAACGCCAGCCCAGCAAAGTGCAACTCCACACATTGCTCACCCCTGTGAAACAATGCTTCCACAATGCCACAGGAGTTTGATTGTTGTCGACAAGTTATATAATGCCAGGAATTACAGACTGGCATGCAAATGCTAAATCCTCCTCAGAAGTGTATGAGATGGACTGTATCTGCAGGCTCCACTTCGGCTCCCCAGCTTTATGTGCCAGAGACGCTCTCCTTTCTCCCCCCCTCCAACTAGGGTGATAATCCTGACACGCACTGTCTGCATTTTTTTACTGTACGTGTTTAAGCGCATTTGCAGAGCATTTATCTCTGCAATGTAAACCAATTTGGCTATAAGGGCCTTGGGCCAAGCAAGGAGCTGGAGGGAAGAAAGAAAACCCCAAACCTAGCAGATGTGCAGAGAAGGGAGGACGCCACAGTCGGTGTGAAACGAGGAGGCTGGCAAACAACTGAATGCAGCAGAAAAGCTGGAAAGCGGAACCGTAAGGGAGAAAAGAATGCACCTTGTCCGAAGGTAAGCCTTTGAAACTTGGGATAGGGGCCTTCAAAGCCGATAGAGCGTGGATCACTGAATTGTTGAGTCACAGAATCTGAGGAAATCATATGGGGCTCCAGTTAATCCTGTCATAGTTAAATCAGTGGCTCCACTTCAAGGAGCCCAGCCCCATCTGAAGAAATCTAGAGCCTGCTGTATTGACAGGGCTGCTGTTTGATACCGCCTGTACACCTGTATCAGCTCTCTGTTAATCTGCCTTCCCCTCCCCTGTCTGCTCCTCCACAGCACATTGCCTCTGCTGGTAGTAATGGCTGATGAAATGGACCAAAGACGAAAAAGCTGCCAATCTCGCAGCTTCTTGATGTCGCCTGTAAGTGGCTCTGGTTGCAGGGCGAACTTGTCTCTTTGATCATCTGCAAGGCAGGAAGCACCCCGCTGTGTCTAACATCACCAGCTGCAATTCTACAGAGTCATAAAGACTATTGGGCTCCTCGGTCCCTGAAATGGGACATTAAGACAGAATCATCCTAGTTTAGTTGTGTTGATATAAAGGTGTTTTGTTTGCTTGCACACAGGCAAGGTCTGAATGTGTCGGGATAGCTTTTAAAGTACCTGATCTTATAGCCTAAGGTTGCTGTAAATGAGGTGTTTGCTGTTCTTATCAATGAGACGTTACATGAAAGAACACTTTGTCCTCCTGGGACCGCTGGATGCTTCTGCTGTTTGATTACAACAGGTTCGGCTTGGCCAGAAAGCTAACTTTCCAAACTCTTGTCACTTTTTCTTTTGGAACTTTTTAGGCAAAACTTGTTAAACTGGAAACTTTGCACTGGAATACTCATGTCCTGCACAAATACATTTTCCAGGTGTGATTGTTTTTTTTCAAGTTGATGTACCGTTTTAGTTTGTTTGTTATTATATTAAACTTAAAACCAGTTGTAATGTCAGTAACAGTGAACTGAGTACTGAATTAAGAGAAAAGCGTGGGACAATTGGATCCAATCAGAGCCTGTGGCCTAATTTCAAGTAACAAGCGAGAGAGAGAGCTGGAGGAAAAATCAAACTATTTGCTAAATCCCACCTTTCAGAAAATGATGGATTGACACAACGCCAGCACTGAGCTACTTGCTGACATGCAGGACAGTTTAGAGTGACCAATTATCATAACAGTCACGATTTTGGCCTGCAGGAGTTAGACAGTGACCAGAGAACCCACGCACGAACATCAAAAACACATCAGCTCCATGCAGAAAGATTCCAGGCCAGAATTCAAATCCAAGATCTTCTTGATGTCAGGCAACAATGCTGCTAACACCATGGAACCCATATAAAAATACCTTTAGTCTTTAATGTTGTATCATTGAGCTGTATGTACAGTTTATTTTGTGAAGAAAAAAAAAAATACGTGAGGAACGGCGATGGGAAAAGCTGAACCAGTGACCTGACACTTCTTGCTTATAACCTTCTACGTACAAGAAGCCTGGACAGTAACATTTCTAACACAGCTATAGAAAGAATTTGCCCTCTGTTGCCTGTCCAGTGCTTTTTGAGTTGCAAACCAAAATGTTTTTTTGCCACCTTCAATAAAATGCCAAATGCCCACATTAGGCCAATTTCTAGTGCCGTCACTGGTTTACAGAGGGCCAGGACCATTTTTCTCTCAGCACAAGTGTTCAGCAGTTCAGGCAGCACTTTCACTCCTATGTGAAAAAGCAGGTTGTCTCAGCAAAGCCTCCCAGCATCAAATTAGAAAGCAAAGAAATCAGAATGGCAGGAATGAGAAGCAGATAAAACTGGCACAAATGTACAGAGGGTTATTATGTCAATAAACCCACATCAGTCATGGCTTACAGTTTTTTTCCCCAATAAATAATATTGGGAAAATAACAGCCATCATTCCAGAAATTACATGGTTGATCTATGCAGTAGAAAGCCACTCAGATCTGTAATGACTTCTCTCATCCTCTTGAACTTGATGTATTGTAGGACTGATTTAGCTAGTATCCTCTAGACACTGAAGAAGTTTTTTAAAATGCCAATAATACAAAAAAAGTACATGTAGGATTTGGAAAAATAAGAAAAAAAAAACTTTTGATAGGAAATACAAGTGTAAATTTAAAAAAAAAAATTGAGATCAATCAGCATTGTGAACACAGCACACAAGTCAGTGTGATGAAAATGACACTGACTTCATTTCTCAAAGCCGTGAACAGTTCAAGGCATCATTTGAACATTTAAAGCATATGGGTAGGTCCACACTTGTGCCACGCAATCTAAAATCTGAGAGGGCAGGCTAAGAGAGCTTTAATCAATCAAGTAGTCCTATGATCCACAGTAACGCTGGAGGAGCTGCAGAGATCCACAGCTTAGGTGAGATAAAATGTCAAGACAACTGTAAGTTTTACACAGAACCGTAAGAACACAGTCACACAAAGCAGGCAGCAAACATGTGCAATAAGGTGTTCTTGACACATGAGACCAAAATCAAATGTCATGGCCTGCATGGGAAAAACAATAGGAGTAGCAGAAATCTAACATACGAAACACAGTTTTTACCATCCATAGTGTGGATGGTGCTGATATGACAGAAATATTTGTCCATTATCATAGACGGTTCATTAGAATTTTTCTGAAAGGTTTGTTTGACATCAAGTAATTTTGCTAAGGGAAACACATTTTGCAGATGTTTTTATTCATTCTTTAACTTCTATTTCTGTTAAAGATTATTTTAAAGTTATATCAAAAAATATGTTTACTCCCTACTTACAGGTTATTCTTCTAATGAGTCTCATTGGCATTGATGACTACCCAATTATTTATTTACAAGTTGTGTTTTTAAACATTCATATTTTTTTTTTAAAGGTACAAATTCTTAACTTATAGGACGACTACCTCTGGTTATGCAATCTCAAGGAGAGGTGTAGTGCTCACTGACAGGATATAAACAATATTTGATCAATAGCTCAATGAATCCACTGTGAGTATGCAATTCTATTAAACATAAGCAAAAGCTAGTTTCCAAAATAGAGTTTGTGTTGTGACATTTCTTAAAAGCTCACAGTGCAATAACTGATAAAATAATAAATGATCTTCTGGACAATACCCTTTGTGCTTATGTGTGGTATTTTTTTGTGCTGCACTGCATAAATAATCATACCGTTTACTTAAATAAAATACACGCAATGATTAAATTGCCGAAGTACAAAATGGGACAAGTCGAGATGGTGCATATATGTGTGTGTGCCATTAATTCTGTTTCAGATCCAGAGGGATTTATGAACAATGTCAAGTTCCCTCTGAAGACCTGAGTCTCTTCACTGCCTCTTAAGGCTTAATGCACCCTGACTGAGTGGCACAGCGAGAGGCACACTTTCTCTCTATGTGCTGCAGATAATACTAAGAACAACCTCTCAATTCCTGCTCTCCTCCTCACCTAATGTGCCCTCCGTCCTCCACTATGTGCACGACGGGCCCATTTCCATTTGGGGTAGACGGCTGAACAAAAAAAAAAAGAAAAAGAAAGAGGGACCGTAATGGAAAATGCTGACATCGTCTCTAATAGTTTCCCATTCCAGGAGTGTTTTCACACATATGTAAATTTATGTAAACCCAACAGAAACACATATTTACAATAGCACAGGGTAATCACTATATGAGGACACGGCGCACTGGCCTTGGAGATGGAGGCGCCATGTGTCATTAGTCTCCTTTATCTCTTTTCCATTGCCTGCTATGGCATCAATGCGAAAGCCATCCTGGATATGAATAAAAACGATCTTCACCCGTGTACTGCTCAGTGATGAAGATGTGGAGAGGAAAAAGAAAGAGGTTTCGTGTCTTTGAAAGCGCACAGGTGTCTTGAAAATGCATACCTTTGTTTTAAATGACTGTAACATTAACTCAGCTGCAAGCTTTATTGTAAGACAGCATTTTTAAAGAAAAAAAAATCAACTTTATTCTCATTTATGTAATTACATAAAATATTTAAATTACAAATATTCTTTTCAAATCTGTACTCATTTTTACAATACATTACAGGTTATTTGCTGTGTTTATTCAGACATGGGTGTACATTTTCAATTATCTTTTAGTTATGCCCAAGTGTGAGCCATCCAACACACTTTGAGATGGAAAAACAAAATGAAAACATAATTTTTCAAGTCTAATTAGCACTACATTGTGAATCTAAAGTCCCTGTTATGTTTATAATAATCAACATATTTATGTACATAAATATCCATGGAGAAAAAGTTATGAAAAAAACTTTAAATCTGAAAAAAATTGGTCAAAATTAGCTATGTTTAACACACACACACGATTAATTAACAGATTGAGTATATTGGTTTTGTTCCAAAAACAAAAAAAGTGTCAGTCCATTATTACTGTAAAGGAGAATGATCAGGCCATTCAACAAACTATTGAGCAAACAGTCACCTTAATTATAGATTTATTTGTTTAAACTTCCTTAACGTGCTCAGCAGATTTTGCTTTACAAACCATATGTAAAAACCAGAATCCTTATCCAACATTGTAGTGTGATTACGACATGTCATCCAGCTGTTGGATCCAGAACATCCGCACGCCGTTTCAGTTTCTCTTGTGTTTGACAAGCTCCTCCACCTCCTTCATGAAACGCAGACAGAGCTCATCCTGCCATGGCAGGGCCACGCACTGCACCGCCACGGGCAGACCCTCAGCGCCGCTCACGGCCTAAAACACAAAGGTCCAACGTGACGTCAAGCAAACTGCTCATGTGGTCTCTGCTGCCACCTGCTGTACAAACGTAATACCGCCATAACCGAGATTCGCCAAGAGATTATCGTGGAGGCTTCAGTAAACTATCTGTGAGGAGAGAGTCGGGCCGACAAACTGCAGGTGTAAAACAACCAAAGTGAATAAAGCTTCAAAAGAGAGACAGAAAAAAAATAGGTGAACAGCTTCAGCTTGGAAAAATTAATTATCTTTGGTTAATTTGTTAATTTCTCTGTAATTCTTGGGCGCTTTTACCCAGTAAAACATTATTTAAAAAAAAAAAAACAACAACTAATAGTTCCACAAGTAGTAGTTAAAGAATAACTACTATATTGTATTTTGTTGCATTTGACCGTCTCACCAGTTTATGCCGCTTGTCCCAGGTGTCCTGATAAAGGCCCTTGAAATGCTTAAGATCCTCCTCGTCTTGAGCTGTCACCGTGGATACGGGGACAGCACCGGCCGGAAAATTAAGGAGATTGTATATCATTGTTAAGCTGGAGAGACCTGAAAGGAAAGCAGACCAGGAAAACTGCAGAAGTTGAAAAAAAGATTTAGGACTATTTTTTTCTCTTAGAACATCATGGCAAAAAAAAAAAAAAAATGCTTTTTAATGTAGAGATTTTAATAAAATAATAATAAAAAAAACAGTATTTGGGGGATTTGGGGTTTCCAGACATGGAGATTAATAAAAATGATGATGCAGAGCTGCACTGTTTTCTAAGAAAAGAACAAAGGCTGGTGAAATTTGTAAGGGCACAGGGCCATTGATTTAAACAGATTCATTAAATTGTCACATCAAGAGACAATCCATATGTGAATGAAAAACTCTTAAATGTGTGGAGAAAGCCTCTTTCATCAAATCATTCCTATCATTCTTCTATCTCCAGATGTTTTAGGAGGCGCTTCTCATACGACCGTACATGTGAGTTGGCCGCAGTATAAGAAGTTGAAGGCCGGTCCAATCATGGGGCAGAGCAGCACATCTATGTTGTATTTCCTCCAGTGTGCTATCGTCTCAGTAATGTAGTCCTCCACGGCAGCATGCTGCTTCCAAACCTCCGGGGCAGAACTGAAAACATCAAGATGGGGAAGAACATGGAAGCATTTTGGTTCAACAAATGATTTGACAGCCAACTATAAATCTAAAGCAGGTAATTTAAAGGACGTCATCACACCTGACTCCACAGAGGGCACTGAGAACAGGAGGGATGCGAGGAGACTGTGAGAATAACATGAAATGAGAATGAATCTGTATCTGTATTATATTCTTATTTCTGGAACAGTGAGGCAGAACTCACAAAGGGCTTCAGCAGGAATGAGACGATTCTCTTCAACCATTTGGGGACGGAGTATAGAATAACCTGAGGTTTGAGGCAGGGGTCCAGAGGCCCTCCCTTCCTGAAACAGAAGCAGGATGACCGCCGTGATTCACTGGAAATGCTGTGCCACCTTCAGAACAGATTCAGCTATTGCTATCGTTATTTAATTCAAAATGATTTTATTGCAGAATCCAACAAGTTAACTACAACTGGTAGAAATAGGTGGATCATTTTTACATTTAATGGTGCAGAAGACTATTTTTGTTTCTCAAATCTTGTTTTCTTTTACTGTGCTTCTAAATTAAAAATAGCCTCAAAAATATCATTAATGCACTCAAAACTTAAGAGTAAAACGACTTCTTGTTGATTTTCATGTGTTTGACATCACTAGAAAGCTCAGAATCCACACTTTAAAAATGTATAAATAACTCAAAACGCTCTGACTTGTTCATAATTTTTGTCTTGGCCATGATTTTGTCGTGGTGGTGCTGTTTTATAAAACAGTACCACCCTTCCTATTAGCTAAGAGATTAATATTTAATTTCAGGTTGCATATATCAAAATGTTATTGTGGGGAATTTTCAAATTGGGTGTTTGTTAAATGGGTTAAGAAGTCCTCAGCCTGAAAAAGTTTGAGAAACACTGGGTTAATCAATAACTTTAATGCTGCTTTTTGCAATAAACCATTGATTATGTAAGAGCCTGCGATATAGAGATTATTTATTATTAACTAAAACACCAGAAAGAAAGACTAAATATTCCCCAAATGATGACAATGTTTACCACACTCTACTGAATCAATGTTGCAAAAATTTTTGTGGTTTTCTAAAATTCAACAATAAACAATTCATGACTTTTAGAGGTTTTAATTGGGAAATACAACATGCAGTGTCAACATTTACTGTTACAAATTTAATAACTTCTGCAGTTTTCTCCGTTTGGATCACATCTCAGTCTTGACTAATGCTGACACATTAAAGGTTTTAGACTTTTTTGAGGACTGACAACTAGTAGCTATTGGGATTGAGATCTTGGAGTTTGGAGGCTAAATTTCACTGCATTTGACATTGACCTCAATCGTGATGGAAAAAAAATGTTCATTACCAACTTCACATCTAGATTGATAAATTTAGAGAGCAGGCATCCTGGAAATTATTTTCTTTCTCTTTGGAAAGGACATAATCCTTTATTTCCTTTCCAAAAGGACATAAAGGATTACCACTACATAAATTAAGGTTTTGTATTTCTATCACTTACATTTTATCAGATGACTACTTATAGCAAGCTAAACTCAATACAAACTGTATATATTGCAAAATTTTTGTCAGTCTCTGAATCACACACTAACAGGTGGTTGATGTTTTTGTACTTTTCAAAAAGATTTAAAAAAAAAAATCTTTTATATATATATATATATATATATATATATATATATATATATATATATATATATATATATATATATATAATATATATATATACATACATACATACATACGTACGTACGTATATATATATATATATATATACAGATATTATTTTCTTATGAAAATAAATCTGCTTAGTTTAAACATGTGGATATAGCAAAACATTAACATATATTCTGGGAAATTCTTGAACCAATCTTTGTATTACCTTTGCTCAGAATATGCTTTCTCTAAATTATGATTGAGCCACAGCTTGCAAAATATTTCTTACAGTGTTTTTGCTGGATTTAAGACATGTACACACATATTTAAATAGGAAGCATTATCAGTGTAGTCAATGCCTTAAACATAACGATAAAACACAACGTACAGTTTTTGTAGCATGGTGGCGGCTCCATCTGCAAACAGACCCTTGGCGATGAGTTCAGTGACAGCTTGGTTCACCCTAAGAGGTTCATAAGGCACCACCTAACAGCAAAGAGGATCGCATCAGAAATACTGGATATTTTACAAAGTTGTGGTCTTCACAGTAGTATCTGCAAAGATGTGTGTGTGTGCGCGTTGTGGCCTTACTGTGTGCCCAGCGTGCTCCAACAGAGCTTTGACCTCTCGGAGGCCGCGGATCATGCTCGGAGGAGGCTGCGAGTACCCGTCGTGTTCAAGGTAACCGATTCTGAGAGGCTTGGAACTCTGGTATGTCTGCAGAGAAGCAATTTCCATTTAGTTGGATTTTGCATCAGTTGTTCAACAGCATAAAGGATGATGTGTTCCTAGATGTTGCAGGTTTTATGCTTGATTAAAAAGTTGCCCAGAGGACTCCCTATGATCTGACCTACTAAATCGGTCAATGAGGCAAATGGATACAGCTGGCATGAAAAGAACTCCATATTGAAACACGATTGTTGTTGAGCTGAACAAAACAGCACCATATACTGACACAGACTAACCTTTCAAAATTTACGTTTTTAAATGTAAATTGGTTTATTTTTTAAAGCAGATAATTATATACACCGCATTAGAATACACAACTAATTTCTCTCCTTATTGCCCAACTTTAAATCAGACAAAAAAAAAATCCTGTTTAAGGTCAGTTAGGATTACCAAAATTATTTGCATTTGTCTAATGATGTTTTCTTTTTTAGGTGAAAAAAAAAATCCTCATTCACTTTCTCAATATTTGATCAAATTTTATTTTAACCTGTTTGTTCAGAAAACCTTGATGAGAAAAAAAAACACACCTGAAGATTAAAAGGTAAAGGTGGAACAGTTGGGTCCAAGGAAAACATGTGGTCACAGAGTAGAGCCTGCATGCACAGAGCTAAACTGTCCACGTCCCGGGCCATAGGTCCAGGAGATGAGAGCACTAAGTCAACAGGAGGGGCAGCAATGTTTAGAAAATGTTTAACAAGAAAACGGTAATATCTCACTTACTATCGACACTTACCGCACTTTTGACCTCGGTAAATGGGAACAATGCCCTGTGAGCTGACGGTGACACAAGCGTGAGGGTGAAGTGATCGTGTCAGAGGCATCCATAAAACTCACTGAAGTGTACACACCTGAGTCTGCCTGTTGTGGGTTTAAAGCCACAGATGCCGCAGAAGGCGGCAGGTATGCGGATACTCCCCCCTATATCACTGCCAATGCCAAGAATGGAGCCCCCTCCACCAATCAGCGCGCCCTCCCCACCAGAGGAGCCTCCAGAGGTCTTCTGGGGACTGCAAGGGTTGATGGTCTGCCCAAAGATAGGGTTACTGCAATCAAAACTGCAAACAAAAGACAAAAAACAAACTCATATGAAGCCAGATATTTTTATACAATGCGTAAAAGTAGACACACAAAAATTTTTATTTTCCTAATTAAGAATAAAACACATTTTTAAATAATTCTGGGAAGCTCAGATAATTATCTTATGGATTTTTAAAGGTACGGTAGTTCAAAGAAGTATAATTTATTAGCTGTTCACCAGTATATGCATTTGAAAGCAACACAAAGAAAAGACTGATGGAGGGACTGGTGTACTTCACAAAATAAATGCTACCATAAGAAAAGAATATAATGTAGAAATATTGAACCTACATATCAAGACAACAGCCAGAAAGTTATAATTTGGACATAACTGTGTTTTTCATAAGGACGGTGTTCCTAACAATAACTCCAAAATAGCTGCAAAGTGACTTAAGAGCATTAAAGTCAATGTTTTGCAGTGGCAACATATAAATCCTATCTTAGTTCAAGAGATAATATTTGTTGGCAGAATTAAAAGGTGTGTGAGCAAGGTTACAAATGCAACTCGGTTACACCAGCTCTGTCAGGAAATATGGAGCAAAAGTGCAGCAAAATATTGTGAGAAGCTTATGGAAGAATACCAAAAATGTATTTTTAGTCTGTATTTTTTTAGTCAGACAAACTAATAGACAACCCTAAAAAAGGACATCTTAAATTTAAAAAAAAAATCTAACATCTAGAAAATAGCTATAAAGAACTTAAAACAATAAAAGTTTAGTCCAATTTACCATCATACAGTGAGGAAAATAAAGGTTATGTGCTTTTTATGTATTGTGTCATATATCTGATTCAACTATAAATTCTAAGGACATAAGATATATTTTGCATTTTTGTGCAATGTGTGTGTCATGTCAGTGCTACAGTTTTAAGTTACTTTAATAGTGCTTGTGGCAGGTTGGTTTTTGTGAAAGGAATGGCTCCTTGTTTCTTCAGTACTTCCACGATCACACTATCCTTCTTGGCTGGCTGGTTCAGATTTACGATCACGCCGCAGGTGCAGTCACAGTTCTTTGTAGTAAGAAGATAATAAGCAGAAAGAACAGAGGGCAGAGTCAGATAGTGGCACGTCAAGACAATAAATCTCATCTTTATCCAGACAATGAAGAAAGATCACCACAGTGAAATTCTGCCAGCTGTCTACCTTATATGAAACATTGTCTTTGATGCTGATAGGAACACCGTACAGCAGGCCGTCCTTGTTGGAGCCAACTGTTCTCAGCTGGTCGAAACTCTCCAGCAGAATTTCTGTGCAGCAGTTCAGCTCCTTGTGCACAGCCAAAGTCTGTTTGAAAGAAGCTGTTATTTGAATTAATCCTCCATTCAGATACTGAAAATATAATGGTCACATTGCAAGAGGGGGTTTTATTAAAGCGTCTGGGTTGGTGAAGATGTCATAATGGAGACTGGACCTTTTGCATGTAGGAGTGAAACACGTCCTCCGGGCACAGCGAACCTTCCCGCAGCTGCTTTGTCAACTCAGACAACGACAGTGACAATATGGCAGCAGAGTCACAGGATGGATGCTAGAAGAGAAGCAGCACAAATGGTCTGATTATATTCTCTGAGTTGGGAAAAGTCAAACACATATTTTTAAGTCAGTTTTAAAGTTCAGGGTTCATCCCAGTGTATTATAAGCCTGGCGGGCCACCACACTTTACTTGTGCCCCCGTCAGGCTAAGCATTGGTTATTGATTTAAGTCTTTTTTAAGATGTCTCCATTTTTTAAGACTTTTTAGTTGCTGTTCAGGTATTGATCTTCCAATCTTTTAATAACACATAATTATAAAGTGAAATTTTCTAATTTCCTGTCAACTTTGAAAAAATTTTAACTCAAAAAGACATTCAGCGAATTACATCGTTGGCAGGATTAAAAGGTGTGTGAGCAAGGTCACAGTGTGTTCACGTGAGTACACCATGAGCAAGGCATGCAAACCGCTGGGTACATAAACTTGGTTAATCAAGTTTATGTTCACTGGAACAGTTACTTACTCACCCATTAAAATTCTACATGTTTTTATTTTGTTATGGATTTATAACCCTTTGCAGACTCATACATGGGAATAGTCTTAAGAAAGATGTGTTTTTGAATATATAAGCATTTTAACTAACTTGATTTCATCAGACAGGATCCATTTAAGTGATATGATGCCACAAGTCGGGCAGTAATACAGTCTGGGTGTTGCTGGTCAAATTGAATCAGAAAAATGTATCACGGGCTCATTAGTCATCTGACAGTTTTGATTGTGTCTCTGTTGTGTTCGTACTCTGAATAGTTTAAAGAGCTTTTTTCAGTGCCGTTCCATCTTAAACATGCAGTAAAAGAAAGAAAAAAAAGATTTTCAATCAGTGTTTTGCACCAAAGACTCAATAGTGTTTGTCACAGAGGCTTTGCATGAGACATATGAATAAAATAAGTAATTATTGATATGACAGGAGCACACGGCTTTGACACCTGGGTGGTGTGTGTGTCGCTGTGACTGCCATCAAGTATGAATTGAAGGTTACTGGCCTGCTGGCTTTGTGTGTGTGTGAGGAAGCGGTGAGTGGGGAGGTCATTCCTTGCAAAGTTTGGAGCCTGATGATCAAAATGGAATAAATCAACAATTGTGACAGAACAAAGAAATGGTTTTGGAGTTGATTGATACACGGACAGATGAGATTCCCCGAGTTAACTAAGTGCGGCCCTCGACCACCATTAGTTTGCCGTGGTTTATAATAATAAAATGTGTTTATTATTATTATTATTATTATTATTAAGTTGTTGCAAAAAAACTGATTGAAAATCAATTTATTCACTGCATGTTTATGTCTGTTAAGGTTGAGATGAAAACGCCCCTTTAAACCATTCAGACTATGAACACAACAGAGACACAATCAAAACCGTCAGATGACTAAAAACCCTGCGATAATAACTCAGAAATAGTCCAAATTAGGATGTATTTTTATTTATTTCCGACTTACGCCACGTCTCCTTTTATATCAGAGGTTTTTGGTGCCTTTCTAACCTAAAGAAAGACATAAAACTTAAGATATTTCACAGAGATGTATTAACGTTCAAGGAAAAGCAGCCACCGTAAGAAAGGCTTTCAGGGTTAGGGTTAGTTAGGGTTAGATCAGTACAGCACTGCGAGGGAACGCAAAATTTTTAAAATCCCCCATGTCCTCTAGGGGGTTCCGTAGAAAGCACTGCGGCGTAATTATTTCAGCGTCCCCTGGACTCACTATTTCTGATATTCACAGATTTGAGATTTCAAAATGAGAAGTCTCCCGCTGTAACATGATGACATGTCAATGACAAATTGCAACATCGGGGTTCAAAGTTTGCACATGCAATCAGACAACAAGTGGCAGTTAAAAATATTAATGTGTGTGAATTAGCAGGAAGTGATTAATGAATTAAAAGTGCTTCCACATACTTCACACGTTCCGAGCCCGACCTCTTACCAACTGTTTGTACCGGAGCACCTCCTGCTCAGCTCGCTGCAGGCTCTCGGTCCTCCTGCTCCTGGCTCTCTGGATCTTGTCCTTCGCTGCCCGGTGCCCGCGAACGGTCTGCGCCACCATCAGCAGGGCGCCCACCCCGCAGGCAGCAGAGGTTAACAGGACCGCTGTCTGGCTCTCCACCTTCACTCCCATCATCAAGTCTTTCAGACTTTCCATTCTCTCCTTTTTGGGTGCAGGGTCAGGCTAACCGAGGCTAGCAAACTGCTTCTGGGGAGGAAAACTAGACCTTTTGGTTCACGCGCTAAAGGGGCGTGGTTAGCTCATTATTATCATAATTTCCCCCAGGAACTTCCTGCTTTCTGACGAACCGCAACCCTGATTTTCCCCAGCTCCCCACTTTCAACACGGCATGTATTTATACAGGGTTTAGCTCTTTCCAGCAGGGGGCGCAACTATTGCGTCAGAGAACGGATTGTGAAAATATGAGTCGGAAAAATATATATATACATGGAAGACAATTAACGTAATAAATAAATTCATAAAAATAATTTTAATGTTTTCAAATCTTAAGTATTTTCCCAGACATATTATTGTGATAGGTAAGCTTTTCACAATAAATGTCAGATAATAAGATTAGCGACAGGTGATTGGGTCAGACCTAAAACCGCTGAGCAGGTTAACCAATCAGATGTTTGGATTTGACAAACAATAATATATATTTTTTTCACAATTTAGTATTTCACTGAATACTAAAATAAATATAAATGGTTTTATGTATATAATGAATTCAAATTTAAAATGGCAATTATTTGTGGACTTTATGAATTGACACCTTTAGAGTTCAATTCAAAATACCCCTAGAATAAATTTAAAGTAATAGTACTGGTAATTTTATCAATATATTAAACGTTCTAGGGACCGGCACAGTCCTGACACTGATCGCCTGTGCAGGTAGCTCAATATTAGGGTGATGGTAAGGAGCCCTTTCATTCTCAAGACACATAAAAACCAAAAGCTGAATCATCAAAAATACCAACACAGATGGAAGAAGATGGTCAGGGTTTTATTCTCGTAATGCTAAAAAAGGCTTTTGCACTGATTATTGAGAAGGATGTACTTTTTTTTTTTATCAATTTGCTTTATTAAGATTTAAAACAGGAACATTATTTTTATTTTCTGGACTTATTTTTTGGGCGATTTCTGAGTCACTCAATCTTGACTGTATCAAAATATATTACTGACTGCATTAAAACTTTCAAATAGAAAAAGTATTTGAAAGTTTTGTTTGCAGGACTTTGAACTTTTGATCCTTCATAGAGAAGAGTTGTAGTTTTTTATTTCCACGCCTTTTGTTTTGAATGTGTTTCTTTTGTTTGACTGCTTTATTATGAACATTTGTTTTGCAGCCTACGATCAATAATTCTGTTGTTTTGTATTAGACACACACTAAACCCCTTTTTTTTAAGTTCCCTAAAGTGGAACTATAAGGAACATAATACTGCTTGTTTAACTTCATGGGAAAAATGTAAAACCTTTTGATAAGTTCATTATTGTATAGAAATTGCTAATCACATTGACTTTTAGTCAAAAGTCAAGAGCACCTTGCTAATTTCCCTATTGTTGGTTGCATGTTCAAGAAATTTTGAGATGATACATACATAAGGTCATACACACAAATTATGTTAACATGCATAACAATGGCAAAAAATTAAAAGTACACATGTAGAATTTGTGTTTCTAAGTCACTTTATTGACCTATTGAATCACAATCAACTGCTGAACATTTAACACTTAAGATATACATTTTACAGTTACAACATGCAGCAATACAGGGACGAGTTTACAATCCCATCATCCTGGTAATACAATTTTTGAAGAACGTTGTCAGTGAGTGGTCCAGCCAAGACGGACTTCATTTGACAGAATGGAACAGTTTGTGAGACACCTATAAAGAGAGGAGGCAGAAAATTCAGCCTGAGCAACAAACAAAAAAACAAAGGGACACATGACTTTCTTAAACGATTTGAAGGAAATAAAACATCCATTACAAGAATGTATATAAGTCTGAAGGGTCTTGTTCTGGTAGAATGGTTCGGCCTCTCTACTTTCATCTCCTCTAATTACCTCAATTTAGCTTAACCTTTAACCACTGCTTAATTTACTTTCTCTTGGAAACAGGAAGACAAAGCTTGAATCGCTTTGTTTTGGTGACAGATTAACATTAGTAAAATTCCAACTGAAGTATTAAGCCAATGTATTGATTTGGTTTATTTAATCATCTTTGTGGGTCATACGGCCTAATGTACTTACGCAATGGTCCCGAGCATGGAGGAAGTCAAACAATTCCTCAGTACAATCCTCCTGTGTCTTAGACCGAGAGCCAACTCTGGTCTCGCAAAGCTCCAAACGCTCCCGGGTATGGACGCAGTGCTTTGTCTCCTCACACTTCTGACGCAAGGTTTCAAGAGGGTCCTGTAACCAGAGTGTATATAAATTTGGAGCATTTCATAATTGTGTAGATGTTGGCATTTACTTTTTCCCTTGATACCACAAGGAAGTCAGTATCTAATCAATTGGAAATTTAATTGATAGAAATTATATACTTTTTTTTGCACTGCAATTAAATTCTAATTAGGTTATTCACTTTCCTCAATAGCTAGGAGTCCCAAGAGCTGGTTTTTACCAAGATAACCTTGGTGCATCAGTACTATCCGAAAATGGGCCCTCACACAGAGATCAGGTAAATGCCGACATCTAATGTGCAAGAACATCTTCAATGCCGTAAGTATTAAGCAGTGCCACTGCATCACTTTTCTGGTTTTGTAAAAAAAAAAAAAAATCTATCTAAAATAAATGAACAAATGAGGCGTAATGGATTATCAGCCCAATTAGTTAATTTGTATCTAAAAATATTTCAGTTATGAGTATCAAAAACAACAAACAAACATGTGATTAAACGTAATAATTGCCTGTGAAAATTTCTCTGTGCACAAAGGCAGCAAAACTATAAACAATAAAGCAGATAAGCTTTGCATATCTCTGTGTGTTTGTTTATGCAAATAAAACGATATAAAAAAGGTCTGAAAGTTCTAAGTGGCATTTAAATAGAAACAACTCAAAGATAAATGCTGCTGCTGACTCACCACCATCTCCTCTTCCTCCTGAAACAGACAGAACCAAATCAATAGCATCATTCACTTCCTATCATCACCTAACATTTGTGCCCAGATCTGTAAAACTTTCTCTATAATACATAAATTCTTAAAAGACGTATAGTTGACACTACTATTAGCCTAGGATGTTTTTGCCCAAACTGAATATTAAGTAAAGGGCGCTAACATTAATGTTAAATTTGGCTAACGTGATATTAGCATTGAAGCTAGCTACCTTGGTTGTGGATAGCTACATTTGTAAAAAAAAAAAAAAAAAAAAAAAAAGTCATGTATATTAATGTCTTAATAAGAAATTATTACTGACATCTTCGGGTTCTCCTTTCTTCGCCCCGAAAACCATATTTAAATGTTTTATTCTTGATTGCCTGTCAAATCACGGCTCTTGGAGGACACCTCAGGTCAAATCAGCTAGCCGGCTGTTGTTGAAAACAAGCACGACGTTTCCGGTTCCGGTATGTTCAAAATAAACTGTGCTTCTTGGTTGAAAACTTATTTATTATTGTTATTTCGTGAAATCAAACAGCAGTCAGTTGAACATCAACTAAATGGGTTCACAGGGACATGCGCATTATTTACACCACAGTCAACTTTTAAAATTATCCTCCGATAAAAATAAAAAAAATAAAAAATAGAAAAAAGCAAGCATCAAGAACAAGCTTACTGCTGCCATCGTGCGTTAGAAAGTGGTACTACAGCAGCAAAGATTATGAGTGACAATGGATTGTAAAATCCTTGCAGTGACACAGAAAGTTGTTTGATTATATTGACTGTCTGTCAATAAATTGGAAATAAATTATTTTGAAGGGAAGTAAAACTATGAAGCTTCTTTATAATATGTTGCAGTCTGCCAAAAGTGTTAAACTAAGTATTATTTTTTATGATTAGATAGTGAATATTAAGAAAATTAATAGACAATTTGGTTTGCTTATTCATAATTAGTTGCATTTATAACGTTTACAAAACTTTAAATGCTTCTTGTCAAACTCAGAGCACCTCTGCTGAATTGCACACAAGCTGGGGTAATGGCTCTTCTGCCTTTTCATCATGACATGCATAGACCTAAAAACAACTCTCTATAGAAATGTTGATTAAACCTTCTTAGACAACTGAACTTTGAAGCCGGAATTTTGACTTCACAGCAAAAATCCTAATCCACTCCCACCAAGAACTCTGCATTTTTGACTCACAATAAAAAAATTGAGTTAATTTTCTTCTAACTCAATATATAGATTAAAGTTTATCAGTTACTACAGTGTGACACCTTTAATTCATACAAAAGCACATGGAGATCAGAGTCCGGTGTAATAAGTAATTTATTTCTCCAGAGAAAACAAATACCGATGTGTACTTTTAAAGACGGTACAGAGCGAAAGATTTTTTTCTTCACACAGCATTATCTTTTTTCCTTGGAAGCAAGTTAAAGACTTACTGACCGTCCGTGTTGGCAGAATGAATTTGTTTCTTTCCATATTTGGTTTATTTGTCGATTGGGATTTAAAGAGTCTGCTGCTGTTTGCAGTGGTTTTCATCATCACTGCGGATTATGTTAAAAACCGTCGGCCACTTGGCTTCCCTCCAGGACCCAGAGCTTTACCAATTGTGGGAAACATATTTACATGGGACCAAAGCAGGCCCCATGAGAAGCTGATTGAGGTATGGAGTAATCTTAGACTATAACCAAACAGCGCTAGTTCAACAAGTCATGTTTTATTTGTTTCTTTCCCTCTTACCCAGCTGGCAAGGACTTATGGAGATGTATACAGTCTAAGATTTGGTCAGAAATGGGCAGTGGTGTTAAATGGACTTGATGCTATGAAGGAGGGTTTGGTTGTAAATGGAGACAGCATGGTGGACCGCCCGGAACTTGCTTTGCAGGACGAAATAGGAGGCGGATTAGGTAGGATAAGAATTCTTAAAATTAAGCATGAATGTGCATAATTTCAATTCTTAATACTGACCAAGCATCAAGAACAAGCTTACTGCTGCCATCGTGCGTTAGATGTTGTACACATAATGTACAATATGTACATTATGTGTTGTAAAATTGGATCAAATAAATACAAAGCATTCATCAAAGTTTTACAAATAATAATAATAATATAATTAGTATCACTTTTATTATTAGTTGTAGTAGTATTATTACCTTTTTCTTTATCAGGTGTTATATTCAGTAATGGAAACATTTGGAAACAGCAGAGACGCTTTGCTCTTTCAACCCTCAAGTACTTTGGGTTCGGTAAGAAGTCTCTTGAGCCAGTCATCCTGGATGAATTCAGACATTGCGCAAAAGAGATCCGAGGCTATAAAGGTACCCCTTTAGCATTCAGAGACAGTTTCACAGGGGTCAACTGCTCAATTTACTTGACATTTTTCTGCTAAATTCTGAAGGAAAGCCTGTGAATCCACATCTCATCATCAACAATGCCGTGTCCAACATCATCTGCCAACTGGTCTTTGGTCACCGCTTTGAGTACGGGGATGAGAAGTTCATGAAACTGATGCTGATGTTTGACAAGGCAGTCCAGATTGAAGGTTCTATTTGGGCACAGGTACAGTGTTTTAAAGCTGCTGATGAAATGCTAAGGTTACCTACCATGACTGAGTACATGTAATATATATCAGTTAGTAGTAATAATTATACGAGTGGTAGTAGGTTACTACTACGTATTTGCAAGTGCACATGCTGCAAGTGTGCCCACAGCTGTAAATAATCAATCCTGTTATCCAAGGAATGAACAATAGAAGGCAAAAGCAGTGTAGTAGCAGTTTCATAATGGTCAGTAACAGTCAGCTATAAAGTCTACCACTTCCTATAAATCCTGATATTAATTAGCTCAGTCTGTCCTTTTAATCTATTCTTCTGTTCAGCTCTACAATTCCTTTACTCTGCTGATGAGATTGTTGCCAGGTCCACATCAGACCGTCAAACAGATCTGGGACGACGTAAAGAAGTTCATACGAGAAGAGCTGAACCAGCACAAGAAGAACTGGGATCCTTCAAACAGCAAAGATTACATTGACTGCTATCTGCAGGAGATTGAAACGGTGACTGATAAATAAATACATTTGTTGTAGTAATCAATTCGAGTGCTGGAGCACAGATCTACTTTCAAACTTATCATCATAACTTTGAGCATTGCCAGACTGCAACCTGCAATTTAATCATGTCCAACCGTCTCACTTGTACATTCTTAAAATTAAAATTGCTATAGAAGTTTGATCTGGGTGGATGTTGCTGTACTCTTGTTTTATTTCACATGTATCCACAGAATAAAGCGCAGAATGACAACACATTTGATGAAGAAAATTTGATCATGTGTGTCCTGGATCTGTTTGTGGCTGGATCAGAAACCACATCCACCACCCTGCGATGGGCATTTCTCTACATGGCTAAATACCCTGAAATCCAAGGTGCACAGACTCATCCAAACAATGCTCCATTAGTAACACACAAACACTCAAAGTCCCTGAGTTTCTAAGTTACATGCGACAACCTGAATGTGAATTTTATTTGCGCAGAAAAGGTACAAGCAGAGATTGACAGAGTAATTGGACAGTCCAGACAGCCCTCTATGGAGGATCGTGCCAACCTTCCCTACACAGATGCCGTAATCCACGAGATCCTTAGGATGAGCAACATAGTCCCTCTTGCCTTGCCACACTCTACCAACAAGGAAGTCCGGCTAGGAGGTTACACCGTCCCAAAGGTGACTCCCCAGAAGACTGCAGTGAAATTTTATGTTTCAACCTTTTTGTTGTAGTTAAACACCTTTATTTCATATTCACCAGGAAATCCTGATAATCCCAAATCTAGCTTCAGTGCTGTTTGACAGGAAAGAATGGGAAACACCTTTCACCTTTAACCCGGCACACTTCCTGAACGAGGAAGGCAAGTTTGCAAAAAAGACAGCTTTCATCCCTTTCTCCGCTGGTAAGGAATCTAAACAGCCATACATTGTGTTTCCATCCTTATTATCTTGTTTTACATTACAACCACAAACCTCAATGTTTTTTTATTGGCATTCCCGTATGACAGGTTGACAAACATGGTATATTATTGTAAAATGGGTAGAAACATATTTGTTGTTTTGTAGTCATATTTAAATGTAGAAATGCCAAAAGTGGTGTGTATTCAGCCCCTTTTACTGGAATACCCCTTAGTAAAAATATGTGCAAAATAGGGCAAGTATTGTGAAGGCAATGAATACAGGTTAAAGTTGTGAAGAAGTTTAAAGCAGGTTTTGGTTTTATCCTAAACTCTCAACAATTCACAGAAAACTATTCACACATCACCTAAAAATGGAAAAATTACAGCACAACTGCAAAGTTGTCAAAACATGTTTGCCCAAACTTTCACTGAGATACTTAATTACTTCTCAAGTATCTGAAAAGATTCTTTTATAAATAGAATGTACTTTTCATTATGCACTAAGTTGGCCTATGAATATTTTATAATTTATATTGCTCGAAACTGAGAAGGACATAGATGTTCCATATTTGTTATTAATTAGAAGATAGTTTACTGACACCTGCACCTCCTCTCTACTTTTTCTGTCTCAGGAAAGCGTCTGTGTCTGGGAGAAAACCTGGCCAGGATGGAACTTTTCCTCTTTTTCACGTCCTTCATGCAGCACTTCACTTTCTCAATGCCGGCTGGAGTAAAGGTTGTGATGGATTACCGTGCAGGACTCACTCTGGCACCAAAACCTTATGAAATCTGCATAACACCACGCTAAGAGCAATGTTTTCATTATTGTAAAGAAACGCAGAAGCAAAAAACACACCTGCCTTGCCTTTCTCCCCACAAACATCTCTACACGAGTCAGGAGGAGAGTAACCAATTTCTGCTGTTTAAATGCATACTGTGAATTTAAATAAAAATTGTTTGCTTGTTGTGATTTGAAGCTCTATTGTTCTCCTCCCAGAAGATATTAAAAAAGTATTTGCTTTACTTTGAACTGAATTCACTTCTGTACTGCATCAATATCTGTTCTCCATTCCATTTAATTCAAATTTATTATATTTAATTTAACTTTAGTTTATGTTTTAAGCTTTGTTCAGGATAATTCATGTTGCTTTAAAAGAACAGACAATAAGACTCATTAGAGACACACAATACTTTGCAAATTTTGATTTTAGAAAATCAAACTTAAATGCCATTTAGAGTAACATTATGTGGAAATATAAACACATATCAAATGGTACATGACAGAAACAAATGGAGGGAATTTTTACGTTCACCATAGGCAAACACTGCATGAGCACGTATCTGATAATCTCAGTGACCTACATTTTTTATACCTGACCTGTACCTCTGAAATATATTTAGGCCAAAACTCCTTAAGTGCTTAGTAGTCCATTGAAATAATTTCATATTCTATCCATTTACAAATCCTGAGCAAGCTCATTCTTTTCAGTCCTCTTTTTTTGCCTTTAACTTTTCATGCAGAAACAATGAGCCTGGCTCAGCATGTCCTGTTGTGTTAATACCACCAACGGATGAATACATATAGATTTGGCCCAGCTCTGAATTAGCAAAATGACCTAAAATGGTGCATTTTAGACCCAGCAGTTTAAAAACTGCATATGTTACCATGGTTACTGACCCTGGTAAGTGAAGCAGCTTCAAGATTGCTTTTATTGAAATTCCCGAACTGATTCAGACTGACTCACTAATCCTGCTACAGAGCCGGATGTTTTTAGTATGTGCTCATATTTATTATGTTAGCCCTGAAAGAGCGAGTGCTTGCCACCTATATCCTTTTCCATACCTGAAAGCATGTATTGAAAAGCTTTTTGCAAAAAAATCTACAACAGCTGAAATGATTGTTGGAAATCTATTTAGGCAATTACTGTCAAATAAACCAATTTTCACCTACATGAAGAGCTTATAAATCCCAACCACCCAAATATGGAATAACACAAATTCAGCAGTGTTGGTCATTCGAATGAAGCCCAAAATTATACCAGTTTTATGTTTGTCCTGTTTATGCCCATTAATGAAAGTGGAAATGCACCATAGACTTGGTCAGATTAATAAAATGTTGATTACAAAAGCAAGCAAGAGCAATAAACGGCTGAATGAGGAGGAACTGTCGGCAATATGTGTTTATTTTTGAACTGTGTTGGCAGGACATTATGTGGAGAGATTCCACATAATGTCACTGTGCAGTCCATGAATGTCTAAACAGACATTTGCAAAGTCTCTTTTGACATCGCATAATGGAGAAGTACTTGCTTGAACTGACCATGAGTTACTAGTTATGTGGCTCGACAGCACAAACTGCGAAGATGTTTTGCATCCCCTTTAATCGACGGAAGGTATAGACCTGTTTGTTGTCTGCTGAGTTGACTTAAATCCCTGAGATTTACATTTGATTTGATCTTAATTTATTTGTACTTGTTGCAACTTTTTTTCTGAAAAGATAAGATTTTCCCAGTTACAAACCTGTTTTTGCAACTTTTAAACAGAAAAAACGTCAAACGGATGCATGTCGAGCTGATAAAATCTCTTCTCTGCAGAACAGGTAGTATTTCATGTATTATTACAATGTATTGTTATTTAATGTTGTTGTAAATAAAAACAAAATACGTTTAGCATTTTATGACCATCAATTTTATAATTAAAATATGAAATTCACTGTCCATTGTTCTTAGGAGATCAATATGTTTACCTATTTAACCTTTTATTGCTAATATCAGGTTGGAGACAAATGCACCATTTCCCAAAACCTCCTGGTGGCTCTGTGTTCCTTATAAGAAGGCATGTTTACCAGAGAAGATTCGTTAAATAAGTACTCTCCCACAAAAGTGGTTGTCAGTTATGAGATTCAGCACAATCTGACGAAGTTCATGTGTGTGTGTGTGTGTGTGTGTGTGTGTGTGTGTGTGTGTGTGTGTGTGTGTGTGTTCTGCAGAAAAAGAAAAAAAGGGCCCATTTCAAGCAAGAGATCCAGTTTTCAATTTCTCCAGAATCAGTGTCAGAAAAGAGGTGAAATACAATGTCAATCAAGTTTGATTATTAATCATATGCAGTTCTACTAGTGCTATAGCGGTGTATCCTGAATCATGTTTCCTTTTGTCACCAGCTCCAGCATACAGTTACAAGCTACAGAGGATAGTTTTGGGTACTGGGTTTCTCCTTCTTCTGACAGTCCTGTCTCTACTTATAATGAAGACGACTCTACAGATTCAGTCCAATCAGTCTTCACCAAAACAATGTATGAATCTCTACATGTTATTTCCTCCAGTTTCAATTCATTCAAAGGAAACTTGGCAAAAAATGGTCAATTAATTTTTGAGTTGTTTTCAGTCATCCTCAGATTGAACTGATAACTTTGTATCTTGGACTCTGGACATACTCAGTGTTTTGTGTGTGCATATTTTCTTCATCAGAACAAAATCCATTGAGGAACTGAAACATAGTGAAGATGAGGATCTGGATGGTTACACAGAAAGAGACATCCACACTGCAAAACAAGAACACCAGTGACGTCTAGTTTAACATAAATACTTCATTTGCAATTACATATATATATTTGAATATATATTATATATTGTATATATAATATCATACTATATATTACATATAACTATATGAGACTAATGTTTAATTTGATCTTTTTTTTCATGTGAAGAGACAAAGTCAGGAAAGTACCAAAACATGGCTTTAGGAGAAAGGCACGTCCTTCTAGAATATCAAGAGAAACCAAGACTGACACACCGGTGAATGGGCCACCTGGCTTTATTGCAGAACATTCATTTTATATTAGAGGATATTTAGCAAAGTCAATTGTTAGTTGCACTTATTGAAGATGGAGTAACTAACACAGAAAACATTACAGTTCAGTTCTTACTGCATAGACCTATTTTATTGCGTTTGTTTCTCCATCAACAAAGAGATCCTCTTCAATTGAGAGCATAGAAGCGAGACTTCCTCTGCCTTCCCCTACATCCGAAACAGATGTCTCAGTTACTGAGGTTAATGAAATTCAGCCAACAATCTCACCTGAGTTCAACATTGCTACCCCTGCATCCTATAGCAATGACAGCATGAATTTATATTTAAAGATCAGCGATATTGCACCAGATGAGGATTTGGACTGCCTTGGGTAAGCATAAGCACAAGTATCAGAAAATGTGTTGAAAGTTTGTAAAAAAGCTCTCATCTAAAACTACCATTCAACGTGCTGAAAAATGAACTCTGTGGCCTTATTCTGCTTCTTTGTCTTGCTTTGTGTTTTAAGGTTACCCAACTTGGGACTGACTTGCTACATCAACTCTATCCTACAGAGCCTTCTCACCCTGAGATGCTTCGTTGAAGAGCTCCACAACCAGCAACCTGTGTGGAGCTCTCAACCCAAAGCCGGCCTCTTCAGGTCTAGAAAATCACAGACACTAACAGATTACAAATGTCTAAAATGTCAAGAACCGTGCAGATTTATGGATGTACACTTCCAATAATATTCATACCCCTTAAAATTTCTGACAATTTGTTATGTTACAAATATCACGTTCAGTGCATTGAATGTTTTTTTTTTTTGTGTGCTGAGCCAACACAAGAACATAATGGAAAATTTGAGGGAAATATATACATTGTTCACATCCTCTTTACTCTGTTAACCCTAAATTAAATCCACAGCAACTAGCTGCCTTTAAAGGTCACCTAGTTAGTAATAATGCACCAGTGTGTAAATCTTCTTTGTAAATTCAACTCTATTTTGAAGGCTTCCAAGAATTGGAGACAGGCAGCTTTAGAGGGCCCCATTAAAAGTTTGTCCCAGGCCACAACCTTGTGGAAAAATGCAGGTCAGAAATGATCTAAATTAAACATTTTAACCAGCAACACTGGTGGTGAAATGTAATGCAGCACATCATCTGAAATAACCCCAGACACAAACATGATGGCGGCAGCGTCCTGTTATGGGGATGTTTTTTCTTAAGAATGGACAAAGATGTTGCTGGTTGATGGAAATAAATGACCGAGTCTGAGATATGTTGCACAAAGAATGGACAAGATGTAAGACTTGAGATGTGTCAAGCTTATGGAGAAATACCCCAAAAATAAATGCAGCTCTAATTATACCAGAATTGCTCCATAATGTACTAAGCCATGGTGCTCAATATAACTGCATGACATACTTTTTCAAATTAAAACATTTTAAAACCATGTTTGATTTTCCTTCTGCTTTACAATTGTTCAATACTTTGTACTAAAACTCATGGAAGGCTACTTTATAAAACAACAGAACTGTGATGAATTTCAAGGGGGATGAATAGATGGAGATTGATATAAGTTGGTTTGAAACTGGTTGTTAATTACTGTGACAATAAGCCTTTCAATGGGGTAAGTGTATTTATTTAAAATCAATAATAATAATATTAATAATAAAAAAAACTCTTTACATCTATTCTCACCAGAGTAATTCTGGATGCTGAAATCTCCTGCTTCTCCAACATAAAAGAGGAGAAAAAGGCGGTTCTGTCCCTCTTTAAAAAGACCGTCGCTGAGTTTAATTCAAGTTTTGACGATGACGGACAGAAAGTTAGTGTAATACTGATTCATAATAGCCGGCAGAGTGTCAGTCTTTTAAAGCTTTGGTTCAGAAGACATGGTTTGAAACATTTCTTTGGCTTTCCGAGTAGGATGCCTCCGAGTTCCTCATCTGTGTTCTGGACATGATGAGGTCCCTGTCACCAGAAATGCATCTGAGAGCGTCTGACTTGGGCTTGACCTACAAATGCCCAGTCGCTGAACACATTGCACTGCAGATGATGAGCACCAGAACCTGCATGGGGTATGAACGCACTCCGGTTGCACTGCTGACTTGTAACTTCTCAAAGATGTAAAATAACTACAATTGTTTTTTAAGTCCATTGTCTGTTTCAGATGCGGTGATCGGTCTCAGTCAGTGGAAGACTTTGTCAGCCTCAGTCTGGATCTGGTTCCACGGGGATCAGTGTTCCAGTGTCTACAGGAGTACCTTGGGGCACGTGCACATATTGCATTTTATATGTCAAAATGTTGGCTAATTTTTGAGTGATTTAAATAAATTTCTATTTTCTTGTGTAGGAGGGCCATTTAGAACACATGTGCCATTGTGGAGTGATGGACTCAACACTGAAGAGCTCATTCCTCACTCTTCCAAAGTGGGTTACACAACCATGCCGTAATCAGTGCCTGTTTTGTCAGGAGGAGCATTTCTTTTTCTTTTCTATGTCAGTTTGAGATCTAATCATCTCTAATCTATTTCTTCTTCCCCTCAGCGTGCTGATCCTGCACCTGAAGCGCTTTAAATTCAGCAGGTCTTCTGCAGTGAAGAAGATAAAAAAGCCCATCACTCTGACGAAAGAACTTGTGGTGAGAGAAGAATTCACAGCCACAAGACATGTAAGGAAGTTTCAAATGCAAACGCACATTAAAGAACAGGTGGCAGAAATTATGAATAGACGCATGTCCTTGATTTAAGCACTTTAATGTCTTGTAGACAGCGACTTATTATTTATTGGTGAGCATCGTCAGCCACATAGGGTCCAGAGCTGACAGCGGTAAGTGTTTCTCTGAGGCTTTGTTCTTCTGCCACACAGGTTTTTCTCTCGAGGCTGAAAAGTTTGCCCTTTTCTTTCAGGCCACTATGTCTGCGACGGCATTCACAGGAGGCAGAATATGGACATCGGAGACGACTCTTGGCTGATGTACGATGATGAGCATGTCAGCCCGACAACAGGTGAAGAGGTCTGCTGGTGGCGGGAGCGAAACGCCTTCCTGCTCTTCTATGAAAAGCAAGTAAGAAACTGATTTCTTAAGTACTGTTTATGAGCTACAGTTTCCCACCATCATCTCATTATTAGCTAGCACTATTTATAGATGCTTATGCAGATGTGCAATGTGCTTGAAAGCAAGACGTCTGAATGTGTTTGTATTTTTTTTCCCAGCCTTTGGAGAGAAAAAAAGGGCGATGACCAGTGCTGCAATGATCCTGGCAGCAACTCCTGTATTCTTTTAATACTATTAAACTGCATCTTAAGTACCCACAATGTGCATTTTTTTCCTTCTATTCCATTAATATAAAGTAAAAGTGGAGATAGACACCACATAATGGATTCTCAGTGTTCAGCACCTAAGATCTCTGACTATCTTAAGGGTTTCACATGACAATAAATAATGTATAGGTTTAAAAGGTGCGACAATGAAGGCAATCTTGAATGGGGCTTTCTTTAAAGGAGGCATTTTTTAAACATAGATGAATTCATAGTCAGGGCTGTAAATCACAATTTTACTGATGAAGGGGAAAAGGCTGCCCTGATGAACCTGGCTCTATGCTTCCTGCAAGCTTGACAGCTGGTTGTGAGCCCCTTGGTAGCAAAAGCCACCAGGCAACAACTTATTATGACCAGACTTTTACATCACTGTAGGCCACTCTTCATTGCAGAATTAGTTGAACTCAATGTTGTTAGAGGGCCCTTTGACTAGGCCACTCCAAAACCTTCATTTATTTTTGTCTTCTTTTGGAATCTGTTCAGGTGAGGAACTGGTGGTGTGCTTTGAATCACTCTCTTGCTTCATAGCCTATTAAGTAGACTAAGTCAATTATTAAAGCAGTCTCAGACTTTCACACTATCAATACTTTATTTGACTGTTGGAATGATAATCTTTGTTTACGTGTCAAACATTGTCTCATGGCAGATTAAATGGGTTGCACAGCTGCTAAAAGTTCAAACTGTCTCAAGTGAAACAGTCTACAGAGTATTTTCCCAAATATATCGTAGGCACCATTTAAACGTTTTTTGGTAATTGGAAGGCACACAGCTATATCACTACAACTTTCAGGCTTTGCTCTGATGTGCTTTGTAACCTCTACAATTACCGTAATACATGTATTTCTTTCAATCTTCACTCTGACTCACTGTGAAAACTGTCTGCAGTCACAGACAATCCCAGAAGACGTCAGAGTACGAGGATCAGGGAGTCATCATTCCTTTCAGATTAGCTGCTGATTGCTCTACCGCCATAATGATGATAACTCAAGGTGACCGTCATTCTTCCGTGTCAGAAAAGTGTCTGGACTTTGGGGAAAACCTGGCCAGGTGAAGTATTTCTTCTTTTCTTACCTCCTTGATGCAGCACTTCATCTTTTTCATGTTCGCTGAGAGGAGAATACAATGGACTAAAGCTGCAGTAATAACGCTGGCAACAAAGCGACATGATATAAAAATCACATCATAAAAAAGATGCAACGCTCTGCTTTGCAGTTTTTTAAAACTATACGCATAAAGAGCTGACGTCGTCTCATCTGCCAATAATTCCTCCCACCAGCTGAGTGCCAGTTTTCCCCACATCCTCTGCAATCACGACTCACACTGTGTGGCAGCTTCTTGGTGGGAGACGAGAGAGCCTGTGACATTCAGGGGAGATTGGACCCTCACAGCCTGATAAAGAGGCCTGGGTTGACACCACACAAAAGCTTGTGTAAATTCTTTGAGTCGCTCAGGAGTTGTGAATGAATCTTTGAGTTGATATGTGAAAAGAAAAAAAGAAAAAAAAAAACCTTCCCACAGTTGCTAAGTAACAACTAACACCTAAGAGCAAATCCTTTATGTCTATTTTAAAATCTGCGACTGAATATAACGTATAAGTGAGCTTGGGCGGTTTTATTCAAAGCTGACAATTGATTTCCACCTGCATACCGACAGTTCCAATTTACTAAAAACATTCACAAATTTACTGCCATTGGAAACCAAATCATTAAAAATGATGAATTGATAGCCCATTTAAAAGTTTAAGAAAGTCATGATTGTTTTTTTTTTTTATGTAGATTTACAGATATGTCTCTTAATCAACCAAAATAACATGAAAAGAGTCATTTCCACCAGACATGACTCTTTTATTTCAACAGCGAAGCTAAAACCCTGAGCGGCTCCCGCAGTTGTTCCCAGTTCTGAGATTGTCTGAATTCAGTCCATGTGTTTTTTTTTTAACCCCAACATACTTTTTGCTGCAGATGTTATGCGTCTTTTACTGTGTCCTGCACAGCTCATGTGTTCTTCTTCACAGGACACTGGATTTTGTAGCCAACCCTGTAGGCCTGCAGGTACACACGAGCCTGGTTCATCCTGCAAACACAATCACAGGGCAGAAAAAGGCAACAGTGCTGAGGATGATTTCATTCAGATTTGAACCTAATGTTGTCTAAAAATATTTCCTTTCAACTCACACACACAGACTTGTTTCGCACTCAAAAAAGACTTACCTGACATGCTTATTTCTGTAAAAAACGTCTTATTTCCAGAATAACATAATGCACGCCTGAGTGGCAACTGACCTGTATTTAGTGCAAAGCTGAACTCCCAGGGGTCCACAGCGGTCAACGTAGCTCTCCCTGACAGCTTTCCTCACCGCACGAGCTGTGCTGACCACCGTGGTGACCACAGGACATGTCCTACAACGCATGGATTATTTATTGGAGTATCTACTGCAAGCAGCAGAGCAATCATTCATCCCCACTTCAAAAAGTCACCAAATCTTTGTCATTAACCAGGACTATGTGGAGAAGGCAAAACTCACAACTTCAGAACTTATCTATTACGGCAAAACGTGTGTGTATTCACTTCTAACTTATCAGACTTTTGATCTCTAACTTGATATGGTAAAAAAAAATCCCTCCCAAAAAACACATATTACATTATTGTTTCTGTAACAATCAATTATTTGTTTTTCTATTAGAAAAATAACTGCTGATTTTGTGCTTTAGGGAAATACATTATATATTTGTTTAAATGTGAAACTGTGAAAACATCAAAAAGGTGTCAAATTATAATTTCACTTTGTTACTTTGCTGTGTTGAAGAACTGAAAGCAAGACATGCAGGGGAAATAAACAATTTGATCAAAACAAACAAGCAAACAAACAAAAAAAAAAAATACTAGAGTCCTGACCAGGTAATCCAAAACAAGAAATCTTGGTTGAAAACTCAGGAAACAAATAAAAACTGATTTATTTATATAGGTTGGACGATGTTAGCTGAGACTAGAATCAGGTTGGAGAAGTCAGAAATCTGTTGCATCTGAGGAGAAATAAACAGAGAAAACCAAGAAAAGGCAACAAGGAACAAACTAAAGTAATGCACAATTCTGTGAAACACAAAAAATACAAAGCTAATAACTAACGGTGACCCTTGGACATGAATAACTTCAAAGGAGCTATGGAAGATAACTCTCTCTTTCAGAGAGAGAGCAAAGACTGCAACATAAGTAAGAATCTAAAAACATAAAATACACTCAAGCACCAGGAAATGAAAAATCAAAGGGTTGCCGCGTACGACATTGCAACACAAACTAAAAGTCTTAATGACCACCATACTCATACTGTTGAATCCCAGTAAAACTTAACTAGTTAGTCAATATTTCATTCACAATGAGACTCGTGTCATTATCAAATCTGAGTACTTGATGCTGATTAGTCAGAAAAACAGGAACTTGAAGGAAAGCTGATGTTAGATTTTCTACGCATGTTAGATTATGTTCTTTTTTTACACTTACAGTCTCTCACAGCGCATGCCTGCGGTGCCTTCTGGACAGGTACAGGTGTTGTGCGGGCTGCAGGTGGCTCCATGTTGACAAGGTGGGACACATCGTGTTGTTACAGCTACAGTGACATCCCACAGTGTTACTAAGAGAAAACATCTGTTCTTCCTTTGTATCCACCTTCATTCTAGTCCAAATTGAATAGGCTTGGTGGGGAAAGAGTAAATGAACAAAACAAACAAGACAGTGCAATGTTTCATTTTTTCAACACATTAAGTGAATCAAAGAGCCACTTGCAGCTTCAGCTTACAGACCACTGATCAAGCAAATGCCATCCTATTTCAATATCACTGTAGCATAAAGAGTGACAGCTTGGTTTCTTATTCATTGTTAAATTAAAACTGTGAAAGTTTAAAAATTTAATAGATCCAAGGAAGCGATTAGTTGCAGTTGACTTAGTATTCTCATAACTTTGGCCACCTGCCTGTGCATATGGATTTGAAAGTTATTGGCAAACCTGTTTCACAGAGGCTGCCGGTGAATCCTTTGGTGCAGCGGCATCGGTTTAGGCCCACACACACTCCTCCGTTCCTGCAAGGCTTTTGACACTGGATGGGCTCTGACGAGAACAAAGGACTACAGACGTCTAGACTAATTCAGTTCAACATGGCTCATCTCTGCACCTGTCAGTGAGACTCAGTGACCAGAAAAAGACGTTGAACAAATAGCGGAGCAATTCCAAGCGGCCCGTAAACTGATGTGTGCTTTCTTTGAGGTAACACGACCTCGGGGATGAGGAACTGTATTCTGGCATTATTGTTTTTTAGAAGCAATGCAACAGTTCTCTTGCTTGGTTATAGTCTGAATACCTGCTGTAAATCAGCAGCAAGTTTAATTAACTTTTAATTAATTTAACAAATTACAGCAAAAGCTTTGGTGCTCCACCATTATGACAGTCTCTCACAGCGCAGGCCTCTTCAAAAAACAATTATTCTTTTTCCTTCTTTTGCAAACCTGTATGTGTGTGTGTGTGTGTGTGCGTGTGTGTGTGTGTGTGTGTGTGTGTGTGTGTGTGTGTGTGTGTGTGTGTGTGTGTGTGTGTGTGTGTGCATAAAATACTTGATTTAGCTTCTGCAATGATATCGTTGATTTAAAGAGCTTGCCAAATTAAAATAGATACACAAGCTACAATGAACTTAATAGAGAGCGGACATTTTCATTGTTTTACCAATCTGGCATCGAGCTCCTTGCCATCCAGCAGCACACGTGCATTTGTTAACATCGACACATCTTCCCCCGTTCTGACAGGCTGGAGTGCACAGTGCTGCGAAACACACAAAGAAACCTCTTCGAAGGACAGAACTGCTAACATCTGGTTCAGTCTGCCGTCTTTAGATGAACCGTTTTCATGTTTTTACTTTATATTATGAACAGTTTCGTAGTTGCTAAAGTAGTAAAGAAAAAAAAAAGTCACTCAGATGTTCTGTTGTGATTTCACTTACGCGACAGGCACTGGGG